GTAAAGGCTCGAATAAAAATACATACAATTAGAAAAACTAAAATATAAGAAAACCTTTTAAAACAAGAAAATAAAGCAATATGAATAAGCATGCCATTGTAATTAAAATTGAAGTAACTATTGCCTATGAAAATTTTATACTCAACGGATCATCTAGCTTTCTATACATCAGAACAGTAAACTAACCTTCTTTAGTTCCATTTTAGGAGGTGGAGGCAACTGATAGAAGCTTGGCATTGGAGTTGCTTTAAAGTTCAAACTCTTCCTAAACATCTTAATTTCAGCTTCTTGGGTTTCCTGGTAGAAAATTGAAATATCATTATGAATAAGAAAGGAGTTCAAGACGATAAGTAATTGCATTTACAAAAAAATAACACCATGGACTTGGCTTGCAAGTTGCTTTTTTCTTCTTCCTTTGCCTGAATCTTTTCCTCAAGTTTGGTGTAGAACTGTACAACATAATGGTGAGGGAAAATAACAGCGCTGCAATGGCTAACAACATAAAACCTCATAAGTATAATATAAATCATCGACCTCTTTCTTTTTCTCAGCTCGTTCATCACACTTTAAACTGAAACTGTAATTTGGAAGAGAACCAACCTTACAGGGTTTGGCATCATCTTCAGTGGGGCTTAAATGAAGCAATAAGGATAAACATATATATGCCATTAAAAAATAGAAAGAAAAAGAGTGCTCAAATAGCACTCCCTGAACCCACAATCCTAAACAGAGAGTAATAACAAAAAGTTCAAACCAAAAAGGATACCAGGACTCTGTCTCTTTCAGCTTTACCAAGAGTCTCTTTCTTCAGAGGCTTCAATTTGGGTTTCTCACTGTAGTAAAAAAAACAGTTGAGAAGAGTGGGGTTAACAGGGGTGTGAGAGAAGAAGAAGAATAGTGAGGTTAACGGGGGTGATAGGGAAGAAGAAGAAATAAGAAAGAAGAAAGAAGATGAAGAAAGAAGAATAAAGAAGGAAGAAGGAAGAAGGAAGAAGAAGACCGGGGTTTAACGTGCCACATCAGCTCAAACGAATGGAGGGTAACGTTGGGACCTTAATGAAAAACGAGCTAAAAATTTGATGGTTATATTGTAAGTTTTAAAAGTTGGGTGACCAAAATGTAAGCGATCTAAAAAATTAGGGACTATTTATATACTTTACCCTTAATATAATTTTACATGCCCCGATTTCAATTCAAAAAATGAACAAGGAAACTGACTCCGACCTGATTCAAATACTTTACTTATCAGTTTGACACAATCCTCTTGTAACCTAATTTCCAAACATGCAAGACATTGTGCATAATCCAGAACTCCGCCATAAACAATGAGCAAGTATCGATGTTGCTTGAGAATTATAAGAGCCAATCCCATATAAGTAGGATGCCAATTTAATCTGAAATCGATGAATTTTAACCCGATTTGATTTAATAGGATTAGATTTAAAGAAAAAACGAGTTCGGGTCAGGTTCAAATGAAGGATGAAAAAATTCAGATTAGTCCGGGGATAATAATATAATTTTAAAAAATATTATTATTTAATTATATACTTATTTTATACCGGACTAGCCATGTTGAATTTATACTCTAAAAATTCAGATCAGGTCAAAGTTGGGTGGAGGATATATATTTTTTGGGTCAGATCGGATGAAAGATATATAATTTTTGAAAGAAAGAGTGGATGATACATATTTTTCGTATCATATTTGATCTGATTGACCAAACCGATCTAGTCGGACCCGTTGTCATCCCTACATATAAGTTATCTGTTAACTTCCTAAAAAGGCTACTTTTAAAGCCTTTTTCACTTAAGTTATTGTTTGTTTAAAAGCTCATTTTAGTCATTTTAGGATCATGTAGTTGCATATAGTTGCATTTGTGGTAGTTGTGCTATTTTATTTCTTAATGGTGCTGTTTGAGGGAAAGGTGCAGTTTGTCTATGGTGTGCAGGGAATAGCAAGAAAAAGGATTCTTTGGGAAGTAATGCCGCGGCATCACACGTTGCTAAAGCAGATTGAAATGCCTTGGCATTTATGGCACAGAAAAAGACAAAAAGATATTTCTGCATAAGGACAACTGGCATTGGACATCTGTCTCTGCACGTGAAGGACTGCTGTAACCGCCTGCCAGAGCTGCCAAAGGACCACTGCCACTTGGAGGGTAAGGTTCATGCACAACATGTAATTCTAGGGGTATGAGGGGTATTTTGCACCCAACAACCTCATCATTACGCCTAGATATTTTTATTATATATGACACCTCATGGGAGAGAAGAAAAAAGGAGAGAGAGCACACACGCATAGAGCAGAAAAAATCACATTTTTATTTTCTCTTTTTCTTTCTTCTTTCTTGGGGATATTCCTCCATTGATAAAGCTCCAAGGAGTGGTAAGCTAGGCACCGGAAGGAGCTAGCGAGCTAGGTGGTTTGTGGTGGCCGAGAGGAGACCTCCGGTGGCGCGTCGAAGGCTTCTTCTCACTTCCCTTTTGCTGCTATTTTTCTATTAATTTGTTGGTTGTTGGAACGAATATTTTCATGACTTTGTGTTTGGATATTTCGAACCCCACCATGAACTAACTTATTTGGTGGTGGTTAGTTGAACGATTGTTTAAACTTAATTTTTTAGGATATATTTAAGTTTATTTTGGGTTCTTTATTTGCTTTGCTTATGAATGCTTCACCATCTAGGCTTGTAAGAGGCATGGAAATGTCCATCTCTTAGATGAAGGTTAGGTATTCGGAAGAATCCTAAGCTAAAAATACTTGTAAGTATTCAGAAGAAACGCAAGATAAGATCCTCATAAGCAATGGGTTATGGTATTTTCAAGGGGCTTTGAATCGGCCTAGGAATATTATAACTTAATCCCTTAGATCTCGGAAGAGACTAGGATAGGATTTCAACGACTAAAAAGGGTGTCTTTATCAATAGGGTAGGCTGTCCAACATCGTTGAGTGAGAGCAGATGCCTTGTCATCCTATTCTGTTAGGTTCTTTTGAACACCTTAGGAAAGCCTTGTCGAGTAAGTAAAGACAAGATAGCTTAAATATACTTGAGAAATAAGTTTAGCAACCTTAGACCAATCCTTACCATTCATTTCATTGGAAGCTTGTCACGTGAGGATTATTTTCTTCTTATTTTATTTATCTTTTATTTACTGTTTTACCATTTTTCATTGCCTTGACATTTCACCATACTCAACATTAAACATCCATCATTGCCACTGCATTTCCATTTGCTACACCATCACACCATCAATCCGCATCCACCAGCATACACATATCCATTACCGTGACATTTGTATATATCAAGACTAACTATACTTAGATAGAATATTGCATTGCTTTGGTTAGACTTTTGTGATTTCACCCAATCCCTGTGGAGACGATACTCACTCATCATTATTACTGAGCGATTGTGTATACTTGCACATTATTTGCGTATATTTTATAGTACTCACAACACGCGAACAAGTTTTTGGCGCCGTTGCCGGGGATTGGCAGCCTGAAGTTATTTAGTTTTGCCAGAGCATTTTATTTTATTTTTTTGTATTTTATTTTTTGTATAGTTTACTTGATATTTTTGTTTTATTTTTCAGGTTTATTTAGTGTATGCCTAGAAGAAATTCTGAAGAGCCTTTGGAACCAATAGAACCTGAGATTGAAAGACTCTTTAGAAGAAGAATACGTGCTCACGGAAATATGTATCAGATTGAAAACCAAGGCATTGGTCAAGATGACGGAAATCAGAATGCCACAGCATTAAACAATGCTGAACCTGCTATCAGGCCTCGTGTTATTCGAGATCATTTATATTCGATACTGGATGATCTGAATCCTGGGATTGTGGCACCCGAAATTCAAGCTGCACATTTCGAGCTGAAACCAGTCAAGTTCAACATGTTGAATTCTATTGGGCAGTTTGGGGGTATGCCAACTGAAGATGCCAGGCAGCACATTCGTAATTTTCTGGAAGTTTGTGATTCTTTCCGCCAAGAAGGAGTGCATGAGGATTTTCTGAAATTAAAGTTTTTTCCGTATTCATTGCGTGACCGAGCAAGGGTTTGGTTGAGTGGTGTACCAGCCGGTTCGATGGAATCATGGGCCGATCTTTGCAAGAGTTTCTTATTGAGGTACAACCCACCAAACATGAATACGCAGCTAAGGAATGAAATATCATCTTTTCGCCAGGGCGACGACGAATCCATGTATGAGTGTTGGGATCGTTACAAGAGTTTGCTTCGAAAGTGTTCAAATCATGGTTTTCATGATTGGACTCAAGTAGTCATGTTCTATAATGGAGTCAATGCACCCACGAGGATGTTACTGGATGCCTCGACAAATGGGATATTGCTGGACAAATCACCTACGGAGGCGTTTGCTATCTTGGACAGAATTGCTAACAATGATTATCAATTTCATTCCTCAAGACTTGGGAGTGGGAGGAGAGCACCTGGAGCATTCGAGTTAGAAGCCAAAGATTCGGTGTCCGCTCAACTCTCCGCTATTACTAATATGTTGAAGAACTTACAATGTTCCACTGATGTGAAGGAAGTGAAAACAACTAATCTGGCATGTATGTTATGCCAAGGTAATCATCACGAGAGCGAATGCCCAACCAACCATGAGTCCATCAACTTTGTTGGTAATTACAATCGAGGCAGCAACAATCCTTACTCAAACACTTATAATGCTGGATGGCGTCAGCATCCTAATTTTTCATGGGGAAATCAAGGAGCTCACAATGCTAATCAACCTACTAGGCAGCAGAATCACAATGAGCCTCAAGGTTACCAAAATGCTATGCCATGGCATAATGCTAACAAATGAGCTTCATCTTCAGCGAGCATAAGTTCCTTAGAAGCTACAATTCAAGAATTCATATCTACTACGAAGACAATACTGCAAGACCATTCTACTTCAATTAAGAATCAAGGAGCTTTACTTCATAGTCAAGGCGCCTTACTTCAAAGCCATAGCTCGTCTCTGAGAGCTTTGGAAGGTCA